GTGGCATCACAGCTCATAGCAACCTCCAACTCCTGGGCTGAAGTTAGTCTCCTGCCTCGGCCTCCCAAGTAGCTGGGACTACAGGTGGCCACCCCAACACCCAGCTATTTTTTGGTGGCAGCCATCATTGTTGTTTGGTGGGCCCGGGCTGGATTTGAACCCGCCAGCTCAGGTGTATGTGGTTGGCACCTTATCCGCTTGAGCCACAGGTGCGGAGTCAATTCTTTCAACACAACAGATAATGTATCATTGGCTTGGTTTCATGAGCAAGTATCTATGCCACAGTATCATCAAATTACCTATATCATGTCACATCAGAAGGGAGTGTATGTAACTATCTTTGTATTCCTGTAAACTGAGACAAGGGCTGTTGATTTTATACTTTATAGAATTGAAAGCACCAGGTTGCTTTAAAATTTCTAGTTCACAATTTCTGGTTTTTCAGGAATCTTTACATACCCTGCTAATTTACCTTTTATCATTGACGATATTTTGACAAAAGCTTATTTTCCCCTAAAAGGGATTTTATTTTAGGGATGGGCCCCTGGATTATCTTTTCTTCTGCATTCTCTTTAATAAGCTTATATCACTTTAAACCGAGAAACAATCAATGAGTTTTTTGGCTTTCTACTAAGTCTATATAAATCTTATAAAGCAGGGAAAGATTTTTCAAATTTCATATTCTAATTTATACCTCTTGTTAAAATTCCTGGGAGAGCCAATTGTTTGAGGAACTGGTAATCCCGCTGAAAGATGCGAGGGAGGATTTGGGATTTGGTAAGATGATCAAGGCTAGAGGAGATTCTCATCCAAAGATTCAAAGGTATTTTCAAGAAATTGACTGGAGAATGGGATTTAACCTGTGGACTATGAAATTTTGGGGTTTCTGAAAAGCCTCTGTGTGCAAAGAATGCCTCATTTGGTATCCAAGGATGTGGTATAGAAGGACTTTACCTCAAAAAGAAGTGATACAGCCCTGGCTGTGCATGAGATATTTAGAATCACAAGTTAAAATGAGATGATATACAGAATACATTATGCATAACCTGCTCCACAGGCTGTAAAGGGCTCTGCACACTTTTGACCCTGATGTTTCTGATTAAGTGGGCCCTGAATTTATCTGAAGGAAAAATGAATTTAAACATTGCAAGTAGTGTGACTTCAAACCAGTCACTCTACCTTTCTACTGTTTTCTGGTTCAAAGGAGGCCTTTTGGGGCCTTATTTCACATAGTTTAGAAGCTCAAATGGATATAAAAACGCTTCGGGAAGCCCAATGCAGGATAAAATTTGACATGTTACTTTGTAGCCTTTGACTTGGTCAAAGCCTCCTGAAGTCTTCACAGTGAACGAAACACCTCTTCCAATGAGACTCATGTAAGAAGAACCCTTAATTAGATAGAGATGCTCTCAAGGTTAACATTTAAATTCTTTTTAATAAAACAATTTTCCTTCCACATGAAATTTTTTTCCATGGAATTCCGCAAGGGTTAAGGTTGTTATTATTATTATTATTATTTTTTTTTTTTTTTAAAAGAAGGCAGCATGCTGTTTTCAACTCACCAAGTCAGGAACTCCACTCAGGTTAAACCCCCACATCCCCCTCCACCAAGGCTGGGACTTCGTGTGCCTGGGAAGCCTGTGCTGTTTGTGGAAGTATTGGGCTCCTTTGTGTCTGGATGTTCAAGGATGCCCAGGACTCAATAAAACAACTAGAGGGCAGTGGGAAGGGCTGGAGAGGCGGCAGGAACAAGTGGAGGTCCAGGTGGCTTTAAGATGACAACTTTGCTGGCGGGAAAATGGCTTCAGCCTCTAGAGAGACAGAGGAAAGAGCTTAATCCTTTTGAAAAGGTTCTGAGCCAAACCAGATTCCTGCTTCCCCAGGGCATGTGGCCCTCCTAAGGGTCCCTTGATCTGGGACCAAGATCTAGGAAGGTGACCTGGCCATGGTCCAAGGGCACGATGCTGGTCCTTACTAAGCAGAATGCAGACTCTCTGAGAGCAGGGTCTGTGCCTCTTTTTCTTCACTCCAGTATCTCCACAGCCAACACGACACCTGCCACTAATAGGTACTCAATAAATTCTTGAGTTTAACAGTGACAACGAAAGCATATTCAAACTGCCCAGTGCCCCTGCTTGGGTTTAGGCAACAAGGAAATCCTTAATTGTCCAGGTGGGGCCTCCAGGCATAGGAATACTGCTTTCTAACTGTTTGTGTGATAGTACTATAGCCTGAAGCTGCAGCAGCCTAGAGGATCACCTTTTCCACAGCTATTTAAATTTAATAGTGAAGGCTAAAAATTATTTAATGGATAAAGGTCACATTTCTCGATTTTTGCTTTTTGTTTCCTTTAGCCAGGTTCTCCCTCTGTCACCTGGGCTCAAGTACAGCGTTGTTGTCATAGCCCACTGCACCCTCAACTCCTTGGCTTCCACAATCCTCCTACCTCAGGCTCCTGAGTAGCTAGGACCACAGGCATGCACTGCTGTGCCCAGCTGCTCTTCTGGGCTTTTCTGTAGAAACCAGGTCTCCTCTTGCTCAGGCTGGTCTCCATCTTCTGACCTCAAGCGATTCTCCTGCCTGGGTCTCCCAGAGGGCTAGGATTACAGGTATGAGCCTCTGAGCTCAGCCTTAGCGGTCACATTTCACAACACATACATTATAGTATCTGTTATAGTAGATTTGTAGTATAATTCATAATTTTTTTAGATATCAAAAAATGTAGGCCATCAATTCAAAATTATGAAATCTTTAAACTATTATCTATGAAAGTAAAAGTGTTTATTTAATTAGTTTAAAATCTTCATGGTGATTAACCCCATAGCTCATTGTGTGTTCTACTCACAAGTAGGGATTAGTATGTGTGTGTGAGGTGTATGTGTGTGTACATGTATATTCTGGGGTTTGGGTATGCAGACTTTTCAAAAAAGCTTTTCTATTTTCTTACTTCTTTATGGATGTAAAGTGTCCCGGCCTCTTTCTTCTGGCAATGTCTTGATAAAACCTTTCATTAGGATGGGCCTCATCAAGGTAGTCCTCATAAAGTGCCTTGTCAAAGAAACAAGGTAGCTGTTTCTTTAAACTGCTGACACAACAATGATTTATATACAAAATCCATTTGGTGGTTTTTTATGTAAGTCATTTATATGGACATAACCTAGTTCCATTTATTTTTCTTTGCCGAGCAACCAAACAAAACACATGATCAACAAAATTAGTAGGCAGAAGACCTGGGGACAGTGGCTGTGCCCTAAGGCACCATCACCATCTGCAGGATCCATTTGGAACTACAGTGCAGCAATTTGTGAACAGGTAGGCAGTGGAGGCCGCAACAAACTACCTTCCTTCCATGGCCCTCCACTCCTACTACTTCTTTCAAACTTCCAGGAGAAGACACTTGAGAATATTGTCATGGAGTAAAGTACTTTCAGCCAAAATTAGAAATGAAGCTGTAACATCTTAAGAATATTAACGTTTACTGGTCAGTAAACACAGGTCAGGGAGAACTAGCCAAGTGGGAAAGAGGCAAACGTGTCCCCACTTTGCCATGTCCTGCTATTGCCTCTCTGTACGCCGAGTAGAGGCTCAGACCAATCCATCAGGATTTTCACTCACAGACAGATGTAAATGATGGATAAGTTTAGTTTTTTTCTATTTATATTTTAATAGGTTGAAAATCTTAACTAAAAAAGGGAGAGAGAGAGAACCAGCAGCCCTTCCAGTAGTCTATTGTGGGAGGGGCTATGATAGAACAAGATGGCCTTCTCTTTTACTGCCTAATTATTCCCTTTAAACAAACTAGATCTGTTCCTTACTGATACGGTCATTAAGTGAACATGCTTTAAAAGGAGAATTTAACCTCTCAAAAGTCTGAGTAGTTAAAAACATCTGCATCTCCTGTATTTATATATTTCTAATAAGATGCTGATATTTTAAGAGCATGTCATAGCCCACTACCTCAAGGCCTCTCAAATATCTCTTCTAAAAAACTTTTTTATTTCTGATCACTTGAGGGGCCAATATTTATGTAAATTAAAATGAAAACTATATGGCAATATTTATGTTTAGTGCCTCTCTTGTGTCACAGGCCATTAACAGCATGCAGACTGGCCCTGGTCTGTGCATGCATCTGAGGATCACCGCTCTACCTCCTGTTCTTTCTTTTTAAAAATGACCTGCATTTGACCTAGATCCCTGTCCACCAGTACCATCACAGTTATAGTCAAGATCTTCACTGACACCCTGCTTTCTTGTGCCCTCTTCCCTCACTTCTCCTTTCAACTTCTAAAAATACAGTCTTTGAATTCATAACAAAAATTTCACTTTCTAGTTCCTTTTTTAAAATGACTCTAACGTTTGCAAAGTATTTGCACAATTCCCTCATCCTCTTGTTCAGTTCAACTCTGTTCAGTTTTGCTAACTTGTGTTTGCCCTGAATTTGGCCTAGACACGAGAAGCTTGTGTTAAGACACTTGGGTAGCACGGAAGTTCAGATTATTTGAGGATAAACAGGAGAATTCCATCTAGGAAAATAATGTAGCTGACAGGACACCTGCTTTCTTGATATAGGAAAGCTTCAGTTGAACATCTTTTTTTTTTTTTTTGTCTGTTTGTTTTTGACTGATACACAACTCTAGCTTTCCAAAGTTTCTTTCATTCACTGGTTGGAAAGCAATGAATTCTTTTTTCTTACTCCAGTAACTCAAAACAGAAAATTCTACATGGGCATATATTAAGTATTCATACATTTCCATTTATAAGGCACAAAAGCCACAAATCTCTCAGAAGGAAAAAAACAAAGACCTGAAGACAACAAAGTAAGCTAGTAATACAAGAGGTTTACATAATTGGAGTTAAAACAAACCAGTGTTCCCCTTTTAGTGAATAAGGGAACTTCTTATACTGA